AAGTGCTAGCACCAAGTGAAGTCTCATAAATATTTTCCTGGCTAGAGGCACCTAATCATGTACAAAGCAAGTCTAATGACATGACAAAAGGCAGCCTCAGGAGTTTAATCTTTGCCAAGACGCCACTTTTTGCTGCTGTCAAACTCCATTGCCAGATGTTTCAAAGACATTCTAAGGTGCAGAACCACTTATTTGGTGAACAGTGTATTTTGCTTTACTTAATTACAGCAGCAAGAAAAATCTTTTCTTTTTTTTGCTGATTGCTTTTTCCCAAAATTCTTACACCAAAAAAGGTGGTCTTTTTTCTTCACTCAGATCAGGATTACTTGATAATACTTAGTTACCTTCTGTACAAAACTAAGAAATTTAAAAATACTTGTCAGTCTTTGGATATGTTTGATAGCATTTGCAGAGACCAGGAAGAACAGAGCTTTCAGTGCTCTGTCCCTGCACAGTGAAATGCCAGTGAGGTTAAAGGGAGCTCTGTACGTGCAGCAAAGCACAATGTTGAAGTGTAGGGCTCTGGGGTGAGTTAATGTGTTTAATTCTCCACTTTGACATTACCTAATAAGAATATTTATAGGTGAAAATCAAGAATTATACTGCCTTGTAAACATCCCTATTGCCTTCAGAGGATTCTAAAGGTAATGCATATATATAGTATAGTATATAAATTTATCTTCTAAAATATTTACAGATGGTCCTATGATCTACAAGACCTACTTGAAGACAGAGCACAGTGATGAAAACATAGAATTCTGGCTTGCTTGTGAAGCTTACAAGAAAATCACATCACAGAGGAAAAGGATTTCCACAGCCAGGAAACTTTTTACAAGTTACATTCAACCCCAGGCCCCCAACGAGGTAACACACAATAACATGAGCTGTCTATTTCCTCTAACAGAAATGCTGGATTTGTAATGTAGCTGACAAAAAGCAACAACACATGTGCTAGTGCCTCTGGTATTAACGGGAGTGAAAACTGTTGCTATTCATCCTCCCCAAACTCTTTCGCACCCAGAATTTTAACACTTGCCTTTACATCTTGTCTACAGGCAAACCTTCCAACTACATCCACCAAGAATACAAGCAAAAGACACAGCTAGATTAAGAACCAAGTTCTTGGATCTGTTCTGTTCTTTTTAGCATCTGATCTAGGGGCCATCAATATCACTTCAATAGATTTTGGATTATGCCATTGCTACTTGTATATATTACTCTAGTCTTTGCAAGAGTAAACTTAAATGAACAAAGTTAAAACTCCACACAGTGCTGTCCTCTTTGTAAAATGGGCTAAAAGGTTCCAAGACAGATTAATTCTTTTCTGCTCCCAGCAGCATTAGATTTAGAGAAAACAGAGCAGATCTGTATGTGAAATATTGGAGTGATTTGGTTTTTTTTCTGACAAGTAGCTATAAAAAAAAAAAAAGTCATTCTTCTGCTCAGCCTGTCAAGCTCTACGACCCTTAACTACCCCTGCGTATTACTCTCCTTGCAAAAATGAGCTAATACTGGCTTCTACTGCCGCTGCCTCTGGCAGGCTGACATAACTGAAAAAGGAGACTGGGTTATTTTCTGGTTTACGCATAACAATAAAACTATTCTAGAGTTTCAAAACGCAGCCTCCCTGTTGACACTGAAGGGCAAGTCAAAACCAACTCAGCTAGATTCCCAAGTGCTGGCTGAGAGCAGCTGCTTCTTTAAATGTCTAAACCACTCCCACTAATCCAAAACTTGAGGAAATTTGAACGTTCCCTCTGTTGGTTTTAAATGCCAAGTGGAAAGACAATGCATTTTTCTATCTTTTTCTAATTTATTTTATTTTTAGCATGCGCAGCTATAGGAAACTCAGCAAGACATTTGCATTTCCAAAAGAGAAATGTCAGTATTGTTAACCACAAATTCATTAATCAAAACCAAAGGCCTAAAAAGGATAGTTAAAAATAAGCAGTGGCATTTTTTTTCCTAAAATAGTACGTATTTGAATCTTGCTATTAGCTTGCTGGTTTCTAGGTCTTCAGGACACACTGATTTCACATTTTCTTTGTATTCATTATTAACACAAGAAATAGTTGCCACTCTAAAAGGTAGATTCTCATGAGGATTTTAAACACAGTTTATATTCAAATTTCAGCAGCATTAAAAAAGGTGCAGCTCAAATTATTCCTCTGGAAGAGGAAGATCGCAACCTAGGAGACATAAGCACTAATTTCACATCTTTAGAGCTCTCCTCTCAACATTAACAAAGTCAAACTGAAAACAAGCAATATAATTCATCATGAGCTAATAGATTAATCAAAAGTTCCCATTTTATCTGGTATATTTCCCTGTCACTAGCCTTTCTACTCTTACGCATTCACAGAGCTTCAATTTATCTGCGACAAACCCTGCATTGCAGCTGAGGAGTTCTAGGAATCAAAACTTTTCCTAAACAAGATTGATATATGGGCTCAGTTTTATCTTATCCCAGAGATCATAATTTTAGCAATTGTTTTTCACCAGTACTGTGCACCTCTAGTCACTTGTACTGATTAGAAATAAAAAGTCGGGCTTCCTTTTCAGGAATCTAATCCTAGCTCTAGGAACAATTCTTAACAAAATAAAGGAGGGGTTAGATATCAGCACCTTTCAGCTACTCCTTCCACTGTAGCCACTTCATGCAAACCATCTCCTCAGGACTTCTTCCTGAATCATACATACATTCTTATTCTTTCTAGAAGCAGCAAGCAAATAAAGTACACACGGCTTAACCTCCCCAAGGTTTGAAGTCTTGGGTCCCTATTCTACGTAGGAGTCCAGCACTAGTGACTTTACCACTGCTCTTGACATCTACTGATCACAACAGTCAGAATTAAAACAGCCTTTCCATTAATAATGTGGTGCAGACTGGGAAATTGAGACACCACTCAGTCTTCTTGTCCCAAGGAAGCAATCTCCCCCATCCATCCACTAATATATGTCTTACTAGATCAAACAGCAAAAGAGCAGAAAATTGGTCAACTAATAAGATGGGATTTTCTGGCATTGTAAGGAGAAATCCACTCTGCTAGAATCAATGTTTTTGGTTAGGTTCTGATTTTAGATTAGAGGGCATGTAAAAAGATACAGATACGAGACATTCAGTACAGGTCCCCTAAATTCAATCTTCCTTACCCTTCCTATTCAGTGATACTTCAGTAATGTTGTTTTCTGTTTCAGATTAACATTGACAGCCCTGCGAGGAAAGCGATTATAAGGAATATTCAAAAGCCAACACAGTCCTGTTTTGATGAAGCACAGAGAATAATTTACATGCACATGGAAAGAGATTCTTATCCCCGATTTCTTGAATCAAAGTTCTATCAAAAACTCAAACACAACCTTCAAACTAATAGCAGTAATTCAATAGTAAATTAAAGAGAATGGCTGAAAATTTAGAAAGGTTTCTTCTGGCATGCAAGTGTTTAAGATTTAAAGTAGACATGAGAAATCAGACAGTAGACAAATATTATTATTAATCTGCTAAACTGTTCTGTTGACATCAGAAGTGATGAGGCACGATCTTCCCCCTTTCCTTTCTTTTCCCATGAAAGAGCTCTGGTTTTGTTTTCTTCTTCTCCCAATAAAATTCTAAAAGCTAGTGTAAACTAGGTATAAAAAAATAGTTTCAGCCAAAAGTGATAGCCCAAGGTTCCAGTCTTTTATTGATATTTGTCAACTCTAATAACATCTTTTCAGTATCCTTGTTTTGAGAGATCTGACATAAAATAGTTCTGTTGCTAGGAAATAAATGTGTATTTGGCTATACGTAACAGAAGAAAAAACATCTATATTGTTGCATTTAATTTGTTGTTGTAGTTTTATTCTTATACTCTCTCAAAGTAAAAGAAATTGTGAACTACAGCTGTTTGCTTAAACTTAACCTATGAATTGTAGCATTCGTATGGTGCAGAGTAAATTTTATGCTGAATTATGATGTACAACAAATGCTACAAAGGTACTTGGTCTACAGTATAATATGACACTACCAATGTTTCCCGAGTTTATCTCCAGTGATAAAAATCATTAATACTTTGTCTTTTTTTCTGGGTATGGACACACAAAAACATTGCTTTCCCTTTGGGCACCCTAATAATTAGATACAAGCAGACCTGACATTTGAACATCATAGTGTAACACAAACCAGTCTCTTTCTCTCATGCATAAACTGCAAAAGACAACTTGCTGATTCATTGATCAGGTAATTGAAGTACTCTGGTTTATATTTAAAAACCAATCTGACTTCTCAAATATCTCTTAATTGTTTTAATGGACTTCAGCATAGACACCAAAAGCCACAGGAAATCAGGGACCTTTCCAGCATCTTCTCAAGCTGCATTATTCCAAGGAATACAAAGAAAAAGTCATTCTGACAGCAGACCCATTAACCCTGACACCATCACACTAATCCTCTGGGATGATTTCATGGGAGGAAATGAAATATTTATTCAGCTGTATAGATTTATTTGACTTCAATCATATAGCCAGTTCATGCTTTTTAACAGTTTACTAAACTGTAGCTTGGCTGCCTAGTTTCAAAAGACAATCGTTGTGACAATGTAATAAATCATCATCTCATCTCTGTTGGGAAAGCCTTGTCTTTCTATAGAAGGCTCACAGCAGTTCATTGTGCTGCTACTTAACCACAGTAAGTTTTTGTTCTCACTAAAAAACTCCCTTCTTTTTTCCAGTGTGAATGTCTAAGCCTTTTCCTTACAAAGCAAGCATGAAAACACAGGTCAGTGCAGACAGTGAACAAGCAATTGGGTTTCACTATCATGGCATCTATCTTGTATTGAGGAGAAACTACAATTGTTCTTTTAAGATTTTCTTCTTGCCAGTGTAATAAGATATTATACGTAAGTATGTTTTAAGGTAGAGCCTCAATCTCTCCTAAAAAAAAAAATTAAAAAAAATCACTGTTTAGGCCCTCTGAGCAGTGGTATTATTGTGGTGCACAATACAGGTTACATTTGGGAAGAGGGGGAGTGATTTATTGGTGACAGATATTCTCAAGCTGGAATTTACACACGTGTCTACTAGCATAATCTATGCTAGCACAGAAAGCTTTAATGCAGCTTCACTGTTGTAAGAAAAGAGATTGTTACTATAATAGGAGATACTTTCCTTTTGCACTGACCCCATATGAAAAGTTTATCATGCAAATGTGTGAATATTCAGCTTGTAAAACCACCCTCAGCAAGCAAGGGCTCCGTAGGAAATCCAGCTATGGACAGTACAGCTTTTACTGCTGTTAACTTCTGATGTACATACAAGTGCATTGGACTTTGGCTTCATTCATCCTGCAGATGCCACAGTCTCACAGCAAAGAAAAACTGTAGGAACAAAAAAACCACACCCCAGTCTCTGCAGAGAAGCAGATCTGCAACAAAAGCCTGCCTGAAAGAGGTAAAGACAAATAAACAAGGGACTACACTGTGAAAAGCCTTCCCATTTCCGTTAGGATCAGACATTTAGAAGAGCTAAATACTGGTCTCTGAGTGGAAGAGGCTTGTAATGACCAAGGATAATACCTCTCTGAATCCAAGCAGGCTTCACATGCAGTCTTCTGAAGGGGTTAGACAAAGAGGCTGGTCAGGGAGCCTGTTGATAGACAGACCCTTTCTCCCTGCAGAAAGGAGACTATCCAGAAGAAGGAAAAAAAGAAAAATAAATTCTTCCACAGAGGATGCTCAGAGATATCAGAGTGACTCACAAACACGTTTTTATGGCATGAAATGTTTAGCATTTATTTTGCTAACAGATGAGTCTAGCAACTCTTCTTACTGGAGAGCTTATTAACTTTACATTTCCTTCTAGAATGCTACAAAAAAAAAAAAAAAAAAAAAGGCCAAACAAGCTTTTAGTTAAGTTGGAAGAAGAGAGGGTCCTTTTCCCAAAACAGGTTTATTGTTAATTGGTAGAGCTCTTTCTCTTGCTTTATTTCCCTTTTGTGTTACCAGATGCGTGACAACAACAGTGTATTTCATCAGATCACATGATTCATAAAACAGTAACTAATGGCAGCAGCAATAACAAATCACTGCTTTTAACATTTTCATTAACAGCACTTGAACGAGCTCAGATACACTTTCCACTGGCAGACAACACTAAAAGGCATTTGCCCACATTAATCATTCAAAACTGCTGTTAAGATAAAAAACTTTAAAATAGCTAAATTGGCAGAATTCTCTCTCATTCTTCCCTCATTTACTTAATATGAATAAAAAGAATTTTAAAAATCAAAACAATGGCAATTCTTCAAACACATTAAATATAGCAAGATAAAAATGTAGGTTAATAAATCCACTATAGCAATTAACTGTATCCAACCTTGGAAACAGTTGAGCTATTGAAGCTCCCTGAAAAAAACCAAACCAAACCCATACTGGACAGATGGTCTGGGGTTTGGTTTGGTTTTTTGTTTTGTGCCTTTTTTGTTTTAAAAAGAGCTGACTATTAGACGATTTTCACTTTGTAAATATGAGCTGTGTTGGCCTACTTTCTTGATAAAAAGTGAAGAAATTTATACTCTATTGTTATACTGCTGTTTCCATGAGTTTTATACCCGCTCTTGGTGTCTAGCTGATAAGTGTAGAATAACAAATGCAGATTGCATATCAGGTCTAACAAACAAAGTAAAAATCTACTTATAATTACAGTCAGTCAAAACAAAACAGTAAGAATAACATAGTTAACCTTTTCTGCACAGATAGGTAGTAAATGAGAACATATAATGTCGCTCCATTGTGTGATCAAAAGCCTTCAGAGAATAACTTCTCAGGAGACTTTTCTCTCAAGTTCTGTCAATTATTTCATACTTCCAGGTTAACTCCAGGTATTTCTGCTTTTAAATCCCAAGAAATAAACTATACGCTGTCTCACTCTAAGCGTAGTAATGAAGTAATATCCAGAACTTGGTACTGTAGACAACTGATTTAAACAAATACTATGAGCAAAGATGTTTATCACAAATTACAGGGCAGATGAGGATGTTTGGGAACCTACAGCCTCAGAGGAAAGGGAAATGACCATAGCATTTCCAAGTATTGCCAAATATAGAGCACTGTTGCAATCACAGGTCCCTTCAGAAACTGATGTTTGGTCTGATGTTCACCAAACACAGGGGAAAGAGCGCAATGGAAGAAGTCTTCCGAAAAGAACGTTTTTCTGCACATGCCAAATAGCTGGATGACGTGGCTGCAGACCACAGCCTTTTCAGGGCAAAAACTGCATCCTTACACAGGCTTGCCTGCAGTCTCCCACAGCAGAGCTTCACAGTGGCAGCAGCCTCTCCTGGTAGAATTCGCTGTTTAATAAGTTGTTGGCAACACAGACTAACTGTAAAGCTTTGAGATGCTTTGATTTCAAAATCTTAAATTTCCAACTCCAAAAAATGTTTGAAAAATAAAAATTTTTTAAAAATGTCAAATTTAAAATAGCAGCCCCATTTCATGGTCTGATTAGACTACACAAAAGAGTCTTTTTTTTTTTCTTTAAATGAAAAAGAAAAAAGAAACAGGTATAATAATGTAGAAACAAACAAAAACACAAGTGGAACAAATTACAAATTGTGGAAGCAAATCATGTAGCCAAGCACTCTTTTAGATACTAAACATCACAGGTGCACAAATTACAAGAAATATGAATTCTTATCACACCAGGCATAAGCTATCAACCACTGCAGCCAAATTGCACAGGAATATAAATTGGTAAGAGCATGATAGCATCACATTATGGATTCCAGGCAGTGTCTTTCCATTGATTTTAATGTGTCTGCATACACTTATAGAAACAGTAACATGGAGAGACATCTTGAAGAGTACTGCAAATGGTCAACATTAAGTACATACACGTTCTGCCTTGACTCAGTTGCTGAACGCTTTATAGTATGCAGTACCCTTGGGCTAAAGGTTCCCCTGGGACTGGTAGATGTGGCACAGGTAGCTGGACATACTGCCCATTCCCTGCTGCAGTGGCAAATGGAGGACACAGGTATCTTAGAGCATCTTGGTAAGACCAGATATCCTTGGTAGGACATTTACACAACTGAATCAAGCCTTTCTTAACTATATTAGCTAAAGGTTTCACATTTTTGGCTTTTTTTTTTTACCCACACGTGGTATTGTAAACCATTTTCTGAAAAGCTGTTTTATCTATAACTTTATTTTTCCTCCAAAATTGTTATCACAATTATCTCAAGATGCCCACTCTTATACAGAAGTCTTTGTGTCCTGTACTTCAGATTTTGCTCAGCTCAAAGTACAGTTATCCAGGGACTAAGAGCAGCTTCTTAACGCAAGGACACGCACCTCACAAATGGGAAACAGGGTAGGTCCACCCTGAGAGGTTTACACACAACGCTGAGTGTTGGGTTT